CTTTGAAGCAGCCATTTCCTTTGGGAGAACTGTTCTCTGCAATCTGGAGATCTGAGAGAATTCCAGGCCCTACCTTGACGTTGGCAACCCTAATTATAACTGATTCTGGACCAGTAACAGCCAAAGAAGTAAAATAGCACCTGTGTCTGAAAGCATGAGAACAATAAACACTTTTAAGCATTCAATGTATTTTGTGTACATTACATCGTGTTTTTTTTTAAATCCAGCTGTAGATATGACCCACCATCCATAGGTAATAACAAGACTGGAATTAGTCCAAGCAGTTATTTTCTTGGCTTGACCTACTGTGAGACCAAGCTCCGCTCCTACTATATGATACAATGATATCATGATGAAAGAATGTAAAGCCATAGCCAGAACAACAAAAAGGTTAATTGGACCAGCATTTTGTGACTCTCTTTTGATATTGCTGCATCATGTCGTGCACAGAGTATGAGAAATACATTCTGGCTAGTTCACAGAAAAATCACACAACAAGTTTTTGGGGATGGCACAAAACTTGTCACCCACTTGACCCCAAACACTAAAAATGACTATTTCCCTCCCAACAGTTTCATCAAATCACATTAGATTAAATTCTTCAGCAAACGTCAACAGCTGTACCTTCATAAAAAGTCAGTGGTTTGTGGTTTTCAATTTTTAACTGTTTTTTTAAAATTTTAGTTAAACTTTCATAGTCATGGAGGAAATTCTCCTATGGAAAATATTGATTTATCAGAAAGCTGTTCTATGTTAGTTAAACAAAATCATCTTTTGTTACCTAAATTAGTGTTTAGCATTCTAAAGGGCTCTAAGAAGACTTCTGTTCCTGTAATGTGATTATCTCCCCATTAGCTTCATTTCAGTTGCCAAGCAACATTAAAGCTTTTATGCCATTTTGACAGAAGTACACTAGGATGAGTTAAATGTACAAAGATTAATCTCATTTTAATACAAAACAATAAATCTTAACACTTAAAACACTTTTACTGGGAACAGAGTCATGTGTACAGTGCAGGGTCATAACTAATACATTTGAAGGAAAAAGGCACATATTATACTGATTAAAAGAGAAATAGAAGGGGGGAAAGTAGTTTGCTCCTGTATCAAGTACACATTTATGCAGTACAAAACATGTTAACTGCTACTGCATAATTTACTGTAGCAATTTGTTAAAGATCTAGATGAGTAAAATTAAATTCCAATATGGGAAATTGGTGGATTTCCTGCAAATATATCTAATCTGTTTGTTAAGTTTCCATGCTGAATATCTCAAACAATGTGGCATGAAGTACTTTAAAAAGGTTATAACAGTCTTTATTCCCAAAAACTGAAAGCAAATTTAAAAAAAGGAACTGATATATGTGTAAAATAGCATTTAAAACCAAATAAAAATGATTGGTTTATGATACATTTGATGTGAGAATCCTCCAAACAAACAAACCAAAATCCAAACAAGTTCTCTATAACTGCTGTTATATCTCCAAATTTCCGGATCACAGGAACCAAATAAGGACACACCAATAGCCTACGCAATTCTGTGCAAAATAAGACCTACGTCATGGTTGCAAAACAACTCTCCTTGGCAGAAGAACTCCAGAGAAAATAATGAGACATGAAGTGTTATTAAAAGGGAATCTGCTGATTATGAGTACAGCCTGGAAATCCAAATGCACTAGGAGACAAAGGTTCTGAAACTAAAGACCTCTCAAGGTTTTAATTCTCCACCTATTCAAAAATTTAGGATACCTGGAAATATACCTCACCTGAACAGAATATACTGATTGGAGGCCACCTCAAAAAAACACAGCCAGGTTATCTCCTTTCACTCAGCACAGGAAAGCAAGCTTAATCTTGAGTGTTTGCGTTTGTTCAAGCAGCTGGTAGCTTTCTGCCAATTCCCTGATCTACCTCAATGATATGGTTGAGAGATCCAGTGACTTTAGCATTCTTAAGGAAACCCTAGATTAGCAGAGCCAAATAAGAATTGCCATGGAGATCTAAAGGGCAAAATATCCAGTTAAGGAGAGTTAAGTTAAGACAACCTCATATTCCTTGCCATGTGTCATATATCATACAATGGTAGTTGCAAACTCAATCCAAAAAGACAGCACATACAAAATTGCAATAATTGGCAATTCTGAATCCTTGTGAACCATTTATGACTTACACATAACATGCTATTTTCAGACAGCCAAACCAAATGCAATTTTGGAGATAGTTCAATGAATCTCTCTCTCTCATATACACATACCAAAAATCTTACAACAGAGCTGTGTAAGCTACTCAGTGGAACAGAAGTGTATGGATATTAGATTTAGGGTTAATTTTAAACCCAGACTAGGTTTTCACATAAACCAGCTCCTAAAATACTGCAGAAATAATCTACTTTCTGACATGCTTTGGTCCAAATGACTATAAATGTATCACAACCAGAACAAAGTTTGAGTCCAGTTGCACCTTTAAGACTGACAAAGTTTAATTCTGGGTATAAGCTTTTGTGTGCAGAACTTTGTTCTGTTGCTTCAGACCAACACGGCTAACCACTTGAATGTATTACAACCAAAATCACTAAATATTCATTCTTTTGCCAAGCATTTAACTGCAGTAAAGCAATCAAAATGAATCATGTTATCTGAAATATGCCAGAACAAAGGCTGTATACATTCAGCTGAAAACTGAATTGCAAGAATCCCAAGTAATTTTTACACCAATAGCAAATCTACAATAGATCCACCAGATAACCAGGTATTTGATGTCATTAATTAACCCAATAGAAACTGCTTCTTGTATGTGAAGTAGCAGAGCACAAAGCTGCAAATTCCTTGTTCTCCACTGATTGCCAATGCAATGTTTATAGTTTCCAAAAATAACTAAGATGTTTCCTTAAGACCCTTATCTGGTGTTACCACCTTCAATTCATGGCTGTTTCAAAACTAGTAGGAAGTCCCAAGATAGTTTCTTTTTAGCACAATGGATGTTCTTAAAATAAAATTTAACCTGCTTTGGAGGAACATCACTGTTTGTTTCAATTATGTGCTGGACAATACACTTTTTTGTTTTTGTTTTCCATTTAAAAAATCAGGTTTCCTATAGTCACTAGTTAAGAATTTGACAAACTAGCCTCAGTTTGAGACCTATAAGATTATGGCTAGATATGAATCAAATTCATTTGGGGAAGATACCAATAAAATGTGACACCAACAGAGAAAAGAAAATACAGTTTTTGAAGAGCATTTGTAGAATTGATATGTAAAATATTGTTTTCTTCCCCAGAACAATTTAGACAAATCAGATATGGCCTGCAGTCAGATTCTACACAAGTTTACTTGGAAGTAACCTCAACCAAATTAATGGGGGCTAAACCTACAGTACAACTCTACAGAGGATCATATGAGAAGACTGGAAGGAAATTCATACCAAAACCAATAGCAATTGCTTCCATACAAACATCATTTTTGCAAGTCGTAAATTATGGTTTGTTTTTGATGCTTCTATTTTAATACAATTGCAAAAGGAATGCTAACAGAGTAAGTGCCTTGAGATCAACATTGTATTTAGCTGAATATACTTTATCAAGAATAAAAGCAAAACTGTATTTGTAGTTGTGGAAGTGTGAGGTCTTGGTCTTTCAGTAGTATTATGGAAGAAACAAACAAATTAATTCCATATTTGTTTGTTTAATTTAGCCTTTATTGGCATACGTATACACATACAATAATTCCATGCAATACCTCTGGTACAGCAACAAAGAACTGGGAACTATGACTACAAGTCCCATACCCTTAATTCTTCACCAGATATGGATCTGGTTTTGTAAATGCTTTGTCATAAATAAACAACAGCACATGCCTTCCCTTTGGAAGTGCTGGGAGGATTAGTCATTGTTTGGTGCCTGATTCAAGAAGGTGGAGTGCTGTGTAAGTGCTGAGCTTATTCAGCTCCTTCAAATACCTCACAGAAAAGAAAGCTATCAAAGTGTATTATGCCACACACATATGGACAAAAATAAGAACAGTTTGGTCAATTTTTTGCGCTTGACATCATTTATTCCTCTCCTCCTACACACACACAGAGATAAAATGCATTTTATTTAACTGCAACTGGAATAATACAGGCCTTCAACTGTGTGTTTATAGTTATCTATCAGACATAAACGGGACATGAACAAATAGATCATTTATTCTGACATATCCAGCCCATAGCATACAAAAACATAAGCAGTACCAATACAAACAATACTGTAGAGAAAACTCAGAAGTCCTTATCAGAATCCCTATTTTAAATGGTATTTTGCCCTTGTGTATATAATGAATTGTAAACTGCAATACATGTAATAGATAATATGCTAAAACAAGTAACTCAGAATATACTTTTAAAGTGCTAAATCTATTCAAAGGTATACTGTCATTGAAGAAGTAAAAAAAGCATGAATAATGCATACGCTAGCTAAATGCTGTTCCATCAAGATTTTTTACTTCACTTCTCTCCCCTTGACAAAAAGACTAAATTATTCTCTTTGGTGTTAAAACAACAAGCACCCCTCTCCCATAACCATTCATTTAGCTGTGCTATGAAACCAGTTTCTTTCTTTCTTTATTTTTTTTTAAAGACAGCATACAAAACAATACCTGGATCTGAATATTTCAACTCTGTTCAGAAAGGGCATGCATTTATTAAGAATGATCTATGTGCCTAACGTATATTCAGATTCTGTATCTTAAGGGAGGGAAAATAAAATAATTCCAGAAACACTGATAACTCTAGTGCATTAGTGAGGGTCTGCAAGGGCAGTACTGATACTGTTATCACTCTTAGCTCTCAAAAGACAAATAGAAATATATTCACATAATGATGTTTGCATCAAACCAAATATTAATAAGAGCAATAATAAAATGTCAGTCTCTTCTGACTGATATATCTATCAAACATACTGCACAATAAATTACCTAAAATGCCACAGCAAAACAGTCTGAAAAAAGTCAAATCACCTAACTCACCAAATGAATGAATGCAAGTATCAATAAGGTCATCTAGGCTGGCTCCCTTGGCTAAGTGCCCCAGAGACATCGTTATTCTGAACTCAGCAGTCTGGGCAAGATCTGAATGGAAGCAATGCTGACAGAGCTGCTTCAGCTCAACAGCTGCCTTCTGATCAGAGCTGCATCCCTCTGAAGCTTTCCTAAAGAGGGGGAGAAAAAACCAGAAACATATGAGAACATTCACAGGAGCCTCTACAGCAGTTGGAAAAGGAGAGACTCCCATGAATTGGGTTACTCAAACATTCCCCCTCCCACTTGGAGAATCCATCAAATAAGGTTCCCCCACTTTTGTAAAAGACTATTCCCTACATTTGTCATGTGCCTCTATAGCACAAGGAGTTCTTCACTGTCATTATTTTTATCCATTACTGACATTCTAAATACAGGAGATTTCACAAGCAAACTAATCACACAAACCCTTTCCCCACTATCAATCAACATTAGTTGGAATGGCCATGGGCAAGAAGAACAGCAGTAGGCAGGCTCTGACCCAAATCTGCACATGATCATTTGGATGTATGTAAAGATTCATCCAGGTATAAACATTTAGAACTTTTCCCTCAAGACTAGGAACTCTGAAAAAACTGAGTTACCAGCTAACTGTAATATGTACAAGAAGAGCCTTTGCTACGGTTGCCAGGTCTCCCCTGGCCACTGGCAGGGGATGGGGGCGGGTAGGGTTGCCAGGTCTGGATTGGAAAATACCTGGAGACTTTGGGGGTGGATTCAGGAGAGAGTGGGGCTTAGGGAGGGGCGGGGCCTCAGCATGGTACAATGCCGTAGAGTCCACCCTTCAAAGCAGCCATTTTCCCCAGGGAAGCTGATTTCTGTCAGCTGGAGATCAGTTGTAAAAGCAGGAGATCTCCAGGTCCCAGCTGGAGGTTGGCAACCCTAGATTGCCAGAAACAGGTTGGGGAAAACTCCTGAAAATTTGGGGCTGGAGCCTGGAGAGGACAGGGACCTCAGCGAGGTACAATGCCATAGAATCCACCTCCAGAGCACCCATTTTCTCCAGGGGAACTGATTTCTGTAGTCTAGAGACGACCTGTAATTATAGATCATCCCCAAGCCCCACCAGGATGCTGGCATCACTCGTCATTATAGAACTTCCACTCAACATGCTTAGAACAGAGAAAACAGCAGAAGCTAGAGTGTGTTTAACCTATTCCCTTTTCAAAATCTCCAAAAATGTATTTTTCTTCAGTTAAAAAAAACATTTTAGACATGATAGCAAATAAAAATGTTATTCCAATTCCATCCCTTTGTCATATTCAGGCATAGCCAGGAACTCAAGTCACGCTTCAAGTTCTCAGTAGTTCTCATTATGTTCTATGGGATTATATAAACGGACTAGAAGACTTTTAGGGCAATTATAACCCTCCATCCCTAAAATACTGAGTTCACTAAAAGAGAAACCTCAGTTCCCACTCCAAATGTGTCTTCCAAGTGATTGGCTACCCTACAGGCCTATGGAAAGAAGTGAAGTCCAGTATTTGTGGAGGAAAGATCTGTCCTTGAGAAGCATTCAAAAGTAAACATGGTTGTTTCCTTCAGAACACCTATAAGATGATCCCATACTGTGAACACTATTCTGTCATGACAAGCATTGAAATTTGTTATGAACTTCTCTTGATCAATAAAGACAAGTACCAAAAAGTTTTATTTGTTTAGAAGTTTTATACAATGTATTTCAACCAAATGATGTCCAAGATGGCTAACAAGAGATTTAAACAATACAGGTATAAAATACAAGGCAATATGAATTATGACCTTTAAAGCCCTTGATGACCTAGGATTCATATGTCTGAGGGACCACCTCTCCTGGTATGGACCCATGCAAACATTAAGGCATACTTTATCTTTACTGTTGGTTCCCTCTCATCAAAAAACATGTTTTCAATTTTGTGAGAGGATGAACATTTTCAGCGGTAGCGCCACAACTGTAGAATGGATTGCTAGAAGAAGTGCAGCAACTTCCAATTTTACTGCTTTTAAATAAACTGGAAAGTGGCTTTCAGGTAGTTCTGTCATAACCAGAAGGGGAAGATAAGAATTAAATTAACTGTCCTGGGTTTTAACTGGCATTGGGTATATTATTGTTATGGACTTCAAAAGAGCAGAATATAATTCTTCCAAAAACAAAATAGCTATAAGAACAGTCTGTACTTTTCAGGTTGGTGATTACCATCCAGCCCTAGCACTGTTAATTATTAATTTGTCAACTATTTCTACAGCACTTTTTTCTTTTAGTTGCATTGTCCCAAAACAATTGTTTAGATACAGATCTCTCCAGAATCTTCTGCCTCAAAGACTGAGGCAAACAATTCAGCTAATTTCCCTGCAGTTTCCCAGCCTTCCCCAATACTACTTTCATACCTGTGATATCAAATAGTCCCCACTGCTTCCCTGGCTGGTTTCCTATAAAAGGGTACAGTTAAGCAAATGTTTATTTGCTTAAATATGTTCTGTAATTTGTTCTTGGGATGTAAAATAGTATAATGTGGCCAGATCTCATCAGATCTCAGAAGCTGAGCAGGGTGGGCATTTGGATGGGAGACCACCAAGGAAGATTTTCCACAGGAAGGCAATGACAAACCACCTCTGCTTATCCACCTGCCTTGAAAACCTATCGGGTCACCTTAAGTCTGCTGCAACTTGATGGCACTTTACACATACACAATTTGTTCCTAAAATCATCTTATTATATATTTAGAATTGGTGCCACAGTTTGCCTTCTTCTATATTTATGTATATCTTCGATTTCTACCCCGCTCCAACCCCGAAGGGTCTCTGAGCGGCTTACAAGTTCCAAATTTTATCCCTAGCTAAGGCCACATGTCTACAGGGTTGGGGCTGCCTACTGGCACCCAGGTGGCAGGGCTCGCTTGTTTCTATATTTTCTATATTTCTATATCTTCTATATTTATTTATTTATATCTTCGATTTCTACCCCGCTCCAACCCCAAAGGGTCTCTGAGCGGCTTACAAGTTCCAAATTTTATCCCTAGCTAAGGCCACATGTCTACAGGGAGGATTTTGTAAGAAATTCCATATATGCATTGTCAAATTTGATAGCACTCTGGTCACCATTTCCAAGGAACTGAACAATCCTGTGCACTGGATATTGCCTGCAGGGGTCATTTCGTAGAAAAAGAGCTAGGGGAACTCATTAGCATAACTCATTAGCATATGCCACACCCCCTGACATCAGGGGCCCGGCAGTGGACCTGCAAGGCCAGCGGGAGTGCGAGGAAGCCCCGCCAAGGCCCTCCCTGGCCCCAGGCAGCCAGGGGTGGGGAGAGGCGGGGAGGAAGCAACTTACCCTCCTCCTGCCTCCTCCTGGCTGAATGAGGGCTGGAAGCGGGGCGGCCGGAAGCAGGCTTTGTCATGTGCCCCGCCCCCCTGCACCTCACCCGGGGGAACTGCGTTCCCCTGCGTTCCCCCCCAAAATGACCTCTGATTGCCTGCTGATAAAAATTAAATGAACAGATATTTCCATGGCAAACAACTCCGAATCACAACCATCTTACATGTTGTCTCTTTGTAATGATCAAAAATGATATTTCCCAGTAAATCTGAGGACAGAGGCATACAATACTGTTGTATTCACTAGCCAAGAAGAATGATGGATGAAATTCTAGCTCAGAGCAACCTGGGTTATTGACAGTGCAGTCCCAAGCTGGTCTGCTCAATGAGGTACAGTCTCAGGAAACTGTTCTTAGGATTCCACTGCCTGATACTGATCTGCCGGGGGGGGGGGGCGCGGAGCAAGTGGTTACGAACTTGTACCAAAATGCAGAAATGCTGAGCCAGCAAGATGCAGTTTTTAGGAGCCTAATTTTATTTATTTATTTTGGTGTTTGGTAGCCACTTTAAGTT